CTCTCGTTCGTCTTTGATGATGGCGAGTCTCCGCTGTTTTGTTGACATTGTTTTCCAAAGAAAAGGTGGAATACTGTCGGGTTTGCTCGATCCTGAATACCTTCGGGCTTTCACACCCCCCGCATCGTAATGAGCACCTCCATCTTTGGGAACAAAGGTGTCCTTGCTGGTCTTCAAATCAATAACTTTGACCATCTCCTCCGATGCGGGTCCCTTCTTGGGGGAATCTTTGATCAGCTTTCCGAGGCTTTCAGCGAGTTCCTGATCATCGATGTCATCCTGGCCTGGCATCTCTGCCGGCAAATCCTCCTCCAAGAGCGGCGCATCCAATGCAGCTGGATCGGGCGTCTCAGGAGCGTATTCAAGCCCCGGCATAACGCCGTTCATGTGCAATAAGTGCCGTTCGACCATTGGAAAAGAGAATTCGCCATCTGGACATTTGATTTGATTTACCCTCAAAGGAGCAATAGGTTGATCATAGTCCTTCTCCATCAAATCTCGCAAAGGAATAACGAGAAATTCATGACGCCAAAGAAAGTCAGGATGGATGGGATACCCCAGAAATATTCCAGCCCTGGAAGTAGGTTCAAACTTCAAAGGCTTGTTGGGTCGATTCCTCGGGCCGGTCCAAAAGTTGACTTGACAACCAAAGGGCAAGTATGGTCCGGGAAAATCTTCTCCAAAACGTACTTTCCATGGTGAATAATAATCTGAGTGGTCCGTGATGTTATGCGCCATGCAATAGTGTTTGGCGGCATGTGGCCAATACGAATGATGCAAACCAGCTTGTTCCAGGTTGGTCCTCGTGCCCTCGATAATCGCCCTGACGTTCCTCTCAGCAATAGCATTTGTTTTGGAAATGTAGTTTGTACTTTGAACATGCTTCCATTCCAATTGATCTGCCGCTTTCACAAGTTCAGGAGCCCGATCACTGTAAAACACGTTCACGGTTTCCCCGGTGCGGACAAAGTGCTTGAATGCCATCACACACTGATGAGAGGTTTTCCGTGCTGCTGGGTAAACATAACGGAAGTCAGTGGCAACATCTCGAACAACAAGTGCAACTCTAGATTGGTCAATGCCGATTTCACGATCATCTGATGTAATAAGATGGTCCGCCGTGAGGTGATCACCAAACTTCTTGGCCTCGACTTGAGTGGAACCTCCCTTCTGTCTTGATGGATATTTGTACATCTTCGCCCTGTTGCAAGTCTCACAAAAGGGGTTTTTGGGAGTGTGACACATCAAGTGCTGGAGTGAGGTCGCCTCATCACGCAAAGCTGCTTCACCGCGTTCGCGAGGGGCGTCCTTCAAAATAGGCTTCGACACAAAATCGGAAGCGATGACCTTAGGCGCATCTTCGGAGGGAATGTCATGGCACTCTTCAATGACCTCACCTTCCGGTTGGCTAATGGTGTCCTCAAGCAAGAAATCATCGTTCCCCAATTCATCCCCATCATCCTCATTGGTCACAAGCACCTCTTCAACAGCTTCGGGTTCCTCGTCAATGACCAGAACTTCATCATCGATTTCAATGGGAGCTGATGGTAATGATGTAACCTTTGGAATGCTCTGTGACAAAGCTGGAACAGCATCTTGAGTTGCTGGGGGAATGAATGGGACATTGTCTTTGACCTCGAGCTTGATGCGTGAACCATCCGGAAGTCGAAAATAAGGCCTGCTGTGGGCTCTCCAAACAAAATCATATCCGTCCCTGAGGCATCTCATACCCACGGATAACACGGATGGAGCCTTGTCAAGAACATATGGCCGAACAACACTATCGGTCTGTTGGATCTTGACCCTGGCCTGCTTGGTACCAATGATATTCCCATTAGCCGTGGAAAATTTCAGAGGCTGAGACGATTCGTAAATACATCCCATCTCCGCATCGGTCCCCGATAGCAAGTCCTGAGAAGCTCCTGTATCTGCAATCCACGGAATGTGAGAAGAATCCATTGTCATTCGAGCAACAGCGGCTTTCCCCTTTTTGGGGGAGGTCACGGACTTCTCTGGCTCGGCCGTTAGGCCTGCGGGGATGCAGGAATCACAACCGAAATCAGAGTCGCATTGAAATTTGCAAGAAGTCTTCGTGCCTTTGAGCAAATCCTTCGTCATAGCTTCATGCATGGTGCCGATAAGAATTGCGTCATAGACGGCTCTCTCATCGTACTTCGGAACATAATCAACAGGAAACTCGTGTGCAAACCTTCTTGACGAGGCAGTGTAGGGCCAAAGCTCGCCGTCAGTCTCATAGTTCGAAATGGATGGGTAATCAGAAAATTGCACGCATTTCTTGATGCATGGCATACACTGGAAAACATCGTGAGTCACACTAGGCAAGCAAGGATGCGAGGCGACCGAGTCGAGGGTCGCGGCGCACACCATCGCCTGAAGGAGGCACACCGCAGCATTGCTGCCTTTTGACGATCCCGGAGACTTGAGGGACTGAGAACCCTTTGAATCTTTCGAATCTTGAGAAGAAGGCCTGCTATCCTTCTTCCCCTTTTTCTTTTTCTTGTCCCTCGGCGACGTCTTGGGGGTGTCTCCACTAGCGGTCTTCTCGGCCTTTGGGGCTGGAGCTGCCTTGGAAGTTGCGGGGTGCTGCCATGGGCAATCTTTCCCCCTCTCACATCTGTTCGCTTTGAAGAACTTGCACACCTGGGGCTTCGAACCAGGAGGACTCTGCGAACGATACTTCCTTGGCGTCTGGGGTCTGGACCCGCCCTTCTTGCCTTTCCCCTTACCTTTCGGTGCCTTAACATGTTCGAATCGGCAGTCTGAACCATAGGTGCACTGGCCAGTTTGAAATTTGATGCATACACCCTTGGGGATTCCAGGAACTGCAGGGTTGTTCGATGGAGTCCTGCCACGCCCCGTTGTGTTGCTTGACATAGCATCCCGCATGTGAACAAGCCTCTTGCGCTCCAAATAATTCCTCGATGCGTCAATCAAGAATTTATAGGAGTGCTTTTCCGTACCTTCCTCAGCTCGCTCATACTCATTGAGATCATGACTGAGGGGCCGAAACTTTCGAATCTGGCGGTGGAACAGCGCTTCGAGGGTCTTCTCATTTTGCTCATTGCCCATTCCAGCGATGACCGTGTCCCATCTCGTCATGAAATTTCTGAGGTCCTCGTTGATGAGCTGGACAGAGAGCAAGTCCTCAAAGTCGTAAATTGCACCATGTTTGATGTTCGTGCTGAAGTGCTTGTGAACCATCAGAAGAATTTGGCGCCCCCTCGCATAGCGTTTCTCCTTTGCTTCTTGTTCTTTGAAAATGTCCACTTGCCGCGCGAGGTCGCCCTCCAAGATATTCGTCAACGCCGATGCCAGCTTTGCATCAAGATGGACAAACATTCCTGAATCACGAAGGACTTCAACAGTTTGACCTGGGATCCAAGTTGCCTCAATCCATTCGAATGCCTTTTCGGGTTGATCGGAAGTAGCAACAACAGCATCCCTAACTTTGATCCTCCAATTACGGTACTGTTCGGGCTTCGGGAATCGGGGAATCTGAATTCTGTCACCCTCCTTTACACGAACGCGTTCCGCTGTCGGATCGCTCGAATTACCTAGGTGCTTCAGTAGCTTTCGTCGAAAAGATTCATCCGATGCAGTCGAAGTTGATGACGAAGATGACGAGGGAGAAGATGACGGATCTCGTCGCCGGCGTCGGCTACGGTCCTTCTTCTTTTTCTTCTTCTTCTTCTTTTTCTTGTCCTTGTCATTTCCACCATCACCATCATCGCAAGGCCAACCGTCTCCGGTAGCAGCATCGTCCACGGCCCCGGCGGGAACAGATCCGTCTTTGCCGTAGGGGTCGCTCCCGACTTTCGTCCAACTGTGCGAGGAAGCATTCGAAAGTCCGGGTGGAGATGCAGCCAAAGGAACTGTCGGGATAGCCAAGGGGGTAGCTGGTGCCTGCTGAACCGGAGGCGCAGGAGCTGGAGCAGGTTGAGCAGGCGGTTGCTGTTGGTTCTGCATCATCTGCTCGACCATAGCCCTTAGCTCTCTGATCTGCTTCTCCTGCTCGCTGATCGTGTTCATGGCGTTTTGGTACTTCATCTCGGCTTCTCTTTCTGACTTCATGGTGTTCGCACGCTGCTCCGCATTCATCTGAATCTCGCGTCTCATGGTCTCCGACTGGCTTTGGAGACCGGCAATGATCTCACCATGCCTTGCCTCCGCCAGCTGGGCGACCATGGGACCGGTGTCCTGATTCACGAACTGGTTGAATTGGGCATTGTTCTGGGTAGCGTTGATCTGCTGATAATTCGTCACGTCCTGGTTGATCGTCATTGATGGATCGAGGTGGACGTTCGCAACATGTTGGTTGAACTGATTCATGGACTGTGGCATAGGGTTTCCCCTTGCGAGGTCGGTCTGGGGGTCGTACATGACGATGTCACCATGCCGATGCCGATCTGATCCTACAGGAGAAGGAGATCGAGCACCAGACCGCCCAGCCCTCCCACGGTCACTCCGGGATCGGAGTGATTCGGGGCCCTGACTGCTCAGTGCTTGTCCCTTCCTGATGAGCTCCCTGGCCACTTGGGAGTTTGCTCGACTAGTCGGTTCATATTGCGAGGCGTCCTCATCGCCTGCTGGCTCACCAGGTGTGGGACGCACCTCGGTATGGGGTAGTCCAGGGTCGCCATCCATGGCGTACAACTCTGTACAAAGAGCCGCTTACGGCTGATAACCTATAGAACAGGTTAAACAACCGGGAAGGGTCACAATTGAACCCTGTACTCAGCGCGCTTTTTCCTTGAGCCACGTGCAGTCGTAATGATGAGACTGCACAAGTGAGACATGCATGCATTGAGGTTTACATGGTTGATAAATACATCACGTTGCAAACTACAGAGGGAAAACCCAGTAGTTGGCAAAAAATAAAGTCCTAACATCCCTTGGCAAAATGAACCGAAGACATTCCAGGCATGCTGCCGAAGCCTTGTTCGCAGGCCCCACGCTCCGATCCCATCGATGCTCAGCGCCTCCTTGGCGGCCTGGTCGGTGTGGTTCAGGGCCAGCAGCCTTGGTACCGTCCAAAATTAGGGATCCTTAGATTGTACACCTGAACATTGCCTTGTAAATGGTGGTTTTCCTTTCTGTTGGTGTTGAAAAAGCCATGTTTCAAATGGTTGCAAAATGTATCTTTTAAGGAGCCCTGAAAAAAGTGTTCGCCTTTTCCTTGGTGCTCAGCAGGAACCTGGGATTCTCTTGAAGGAAGCCATAGGGGATGGCTTATAGGGGTAGATCCATTTCTCATTGTCTGCCCATCGCACCAGCAAGTTTCCGTTTCCCCCAGGTGAAAGGTTACAAAGACGCAACCATGTCTTGCCTGTTTACTTGGCCGGAACTAGGACCCCAGCAAAAAACGCGTTCTTTTTCCTTGTGAGTGGAAAACCACTCGGGACCCCCCCAAAAAGGCAGAAACATCAAAAAGGGGGAGCATTCAATTCTGGGGAAGCTTAGCAAGATCCTTAGTTGCCTAAAGGACCAGGGACTAAAATGTTCACGTTTTGGGACCAGGCTTATTATGGACCAAAACAGGAAAACCCAAAGCTTGCCTGTTTAGTAAGACCATTCCCCAGCACAAAACAGTTTTTTCCTTGCGAGTGGAAAACCAAGCGGGCCCCAAAAAAGCAAAACCAAAAAGGGGAGCATTCAACCCTGGGGAAGTTTCACATTGAATGCCCCAACTTCAAGCGCGGTCAGGCCGCAGCTCCCCCAGCTCGCAGCGCAAAGACGCCACTTGCCGCCAGTCCGGCGCCGGGATCGCCTCCAAAGCCCGGTGGTAGGCCTGGCGAACTCAGATGAGGCAAGTTGCTGGGCCTCAAGCTGCCCCAAGCTCGGCGGCTTTCTGCTCCCCTGCTAAAAGTGAATAACTTTTAGTGGTTTACTGGAAGACCCAGTAAAGAAGGCAACAAGTTAAAGTCTAACATACCTTGGCAAAATGCACCAAGTAAACCAGGAATTATTGCAGTAAGTGCCCCTCCTTCGATTACTTCAACTCAAGGGTACATTGCTTCCAACAAATGGTTGGTCCTCTGAACACTTTAAGGTCTCACCCGTCCAAGGGACCCCAGCATCAAACCCGAGGACATTCCCCAAAGCTACACGACTCATCTCGCCTTCACCGCTTCGGCGCTTCTGCCCCGCTGCTTGGCCTCCGCCGCATAGGCGGCCGCCGCGTTTGCCGCGTCCAGGCGGCGCAGAGTTGGGCCGGGGGGTGGGCCCTGAAAGCACTGCCAGCCCCGCCGAGGCAAGCTGGAAGTCCTCCCAGCGCGCGGAGCCAACGCGAAGCACCAAGGGCGTGGCTCGTCAACCCTGTGAGCGTGCTTGGACAACTCGCAGCTTAAACAAAAATACAAGGCAGGCCAACGTCAGACTCAGTTGAGGTATGCAGCTGGCATTGCTCCTCACAAAACCAACCTGGAATTAAGAGTGTGGGATTCATCGGGCCTTGATTCCGCCCTGTAGGCGAAAGAGAGAAAGAGAGGCAAGGGTGGCAAAAGGCTGTGTCCCTTGCTCTTCCCGTGTCCCCCGTTGCCTCGAAAAACTGCAGGCACAAATCCGAAATCAAATAGCCTAACTTGAGATGGCCATGAAATTGGAAGGCGCCAAACAAAGGCTGCCTGTTTTCGAAGAACATATGCAATCATGAACAAAAGAAGCCTCAGGAATTGCACCCGATCGGTGGGCTCGCTAAAATTGCGTAGGACATTGACGCCATTGCCAGTGTGGGAGCAACCGAGAACCTTGTGACACGTGCAATGGTGCCGGACCCCCATTCCACATCTTACCTTTGGCGGACGTCATTCACACGGGAGTTTATGTCACCATGTTTCTGAGGGTCAACTTACCAACTCTTGGTATGGTGGCAAACAACTTTTGTTTTTTGCAGCCCCCAGGGAACATGAACCAAATCAAAACAAACTTGCCAAGCTGGGCTGTCCTCAGATCCCCTGCTAAAAGCTTTAGTTTTAGTGGGTTAAATGGACACCCCCACTAAACCCTGAAAACCTAAAAGCTAAAGAGCTAAGGAGCTAAGGGGATGGCCCAGAGCCACCAAGCAAGAACAGGGCACAATGCTTGGCAAGTTTCTTTTCGGTTTTGGGTTCTGCTCATTTCTCCTGGGGGCTGCCGAAAACAGAAAGTTGTTTGCCACCATACCAAGGGTTGGTGAGTTGACCCTCAGAAACATGGACATCGCCCGCCGAGGCCGAGGGGCTTGGCTGCTGGGACGCCATATGCTGGCTGCCCTTCTCGCCCGATGATCCAGCCCCATTGGAGCTGGCCAGAGGCATCTGGACACTGGCAAATGGAGAGGCTGAAGTCGCTGAGATTGCCATACCTCGGGTTTTGGCGCAACAGAACCTGCCGTTGAAGAAGCCAAGTGAGAACTTTCATGGCTTTGCGAAATCAGCCAGTTTGATACTGTGTCATGCCAGCTCTTGCAAGCCTCAAAACGTGTGCCCTATGAAATTTAGGAGAGGTTTGAGGGGGAAACCTTGGGGTCGCAATGCCTTGGGGTCTGCAACGATCATTTGATTGTACTTGCTTGCTTGTTGTTTGAATTTTCCTGTTTTTCTGTCTCTGTGTCTATCTGTGCATGCGCGTGCGAGTGTGTGGGAGTGTGCGCGTGCGCGTGGGTGGGTAGGTGGGTGCGCGCGTAGTCTCTCCAACGTTTGCTGTTGAGGTCTCGTCAGCACGAGCTGCGCGCCATTTCCTTCTGACGATTTCTGCCTCGGCCGCGGTGCACCGGGCAGCCTTCAAAGGATGTCTCAATGGCATAGACACCGTTGACCTCGTTGTGGCCAGCGCCCTCCACTGCCACATGCTGCGGCCAGTCGGCCATGGCGCTCGCATGCTGTGGGACTTCTGTCGCTGGACCCTGCCTCGTAGACTTCAACTAGCTTCCAGTAGAGAGGTTAGAATAAGGGTATTCTTCTTTCTGTAGTCTATTTTAGTAGGGGAACCCTCCCCCAAAAGGGTAACAGGGCACTCCTGGGGGACCTTGTCATGTTTTGCTTCACCAAAAGCCGGAGTTGTCCAAGACATGCAAGCAGCGCAAGCACAGTGCCCTGGCTTGTTCAACAAACATTGCTATTTTCTCGATACTGGCTTCATTGCGTGTGGAATCCGTCTTGTGCCGGCGGGAATGTTGGTGAAAACGAGCCTAGTTGCACCAAAGGACGCCAATCAACGATCCATACGAGTACACCGGTACAGTGTATTAGCGGTGCAAAGGCTGGCGGACATGGCGAGGGGTCTCGCTGAGCATCCGCCACTGGAGCCCACTGCCCGCAAGGCAGACTCATAGGGGCAGAGGGATCCGCAGTTTTCAATTTGTGGCTTCCACGTTAACTTGCAAGGGAGTAACCTCCATCAACATTTGCCTACCAAAACGACACAACCCTGGCGCACCGTGAGTGGTGAGCGGTTGCCAAGCCCCTTCTCCTCGGAGGGTGTCTGGTCAATTGCCTCAGGTCGGGGCTCAGAAGCTTGGCCTGGCTTCCGAGCTAGTCGGGGCCTCTGTGCATTTCAGTCAGCACAGCTGAAACCTAGCTCTTGCCCTGCAAACCTGGATCTTGCGTGTCTGGAATGGCTGAGAGGAGCAAAGAAGGAGATGACCAAGCTCGCCCAGGATCCTCTCACACGATCAGAACAGAATGCTTGCGCAATGTGGGACCGGGAGCCGAGTTAAATACAGTAGAGCGAGCTTTGAGTCTCTCCTGTGGAGCCCGAGTTGCCTTCTGACGTAGAGAGCGTCACTAACAAGGCTGAAGCGTTCAGGCAGCTGCCAGCAAGAACAGCTTTCTCTCATAAAACAGAGTCCCCGCTTCTGCGGCTGTAGTTTGGTTTCACGCGCCGCAAAACTGAGGCTTCGGCATACCAAATGCCCCCAAGCAGGCTGAGGGCAATGCCGGTCATCACCAAAGGAGCCTGACACCAACTCACAGCAAAGACATCTGTTGCATCAAGGGGCTTGCCAGTCGTCGGTGAGCCTAGCAGGAGCCTAGCAGGAGCCTAGCAGGAGCCTAGCAGGAGCCTAGCAGGAGCCTAGCAGGAGTGAGTACCACCCAAAGCCTGCAACAAGTAATGCGCTATGCGAGCAACATGGATGATGTGCGCAACCATCGCTCAAATCCAACCACTTTTCACATGCGTAGATGGTTGAGGTCAATTCCACACACAAATTAGTACAGTGAGCCCCTGAAAAGCTGCCACCAGTTCGCGAGACAATGGAAGGGGGGATAGGCTAACCCCTTCTGCAAACCATGTTCAGGGACTCGGGCTCTGCGAACTGCTTGGTGCTAAGGTTAAGAAAAAACAGGCTCTTCAAATCCCTCGCCCTGAGTCTTCGCGGCGCTGCCTTCCCAGTCATGGTGCCCATTCGCTGGCATATACGTGCGACTCATGCCAATAAATTCGAACATGAAGCATGTTGAGTCAGACTTCGAACACGACACCAATCCAAAGGACCTTGCAACCGGGTGAAACGGTGAAGGCCAACTTGTGGCCATGTTCAAATCTACAGCTGCGCAGCTGGCCTGAAAAACTGGGTCTGAGAAGAAGACGATGCCCTGCGGCGCACGCAGGGCATTCGGGGCATTGCTGCGCTCGCCAAACAACGAGTTTTGAGCTGCGATCCGAAAATTGTTTAAGCTCCCAAGGTTTGGAGACAAGTGAGGATTTTGACTCCGCCGAATCTGTCAATTCCATCAAGATCGGATTGGAATCCCCGAATCAGCCCACGGTTCACTGGTGATGGGAGGAAGCAATTCCTTTGATGCGAGGCAACTTTCAACTTCATGCGCGACGGCTGCCATGCTTGCGGCCAAACGCAGCCGGCGCCTCAAAGACCACCACAAAGTTAGACAGGTTCCCGAAGACCATTGTGGACCTGCTAGTTTTCCACATCACAAAGGGCTGTGGCACAAGTGTGCAACCAACCTTTTTGCATGCAAACATAGGCACGCGCCAATTTCCTCCTGCAAAGGGATGCCAAAGCAGGGCTGTGGGAAATGACTTCGTGATACAACAACAAGGGCTTCCCAAAGATTACCCCCTTGATATGATTCCCTTGTATCGCAGAAGTGGTGGATAAAAAATCGAGTGATCCCACAACCCTGGGCCAACAACGCCAACATCTCTCGCGAGGATGCCCTCAGCTCCGTCTTTGTCTTTGCCAACCAGCCGCAAATAGAAAAAGGACGCCGTGACACGCAGGCGAAACCAGAAACTCACATATGGGGGTTTCTCCAAATTACTCACCCCTATAGGTCTCTAGGTGGTTGGTTTCCTCTTGGTTCCCTTTAAAACCAGCCGAAGAGGGCTCCCCTACTTTGAGACAGACCCAGATGAAAGCTTGCAAACGCCGCCAGGTGAAAGAGCACCTTCGTTCTTGCGTCATCCCAATCCACGCGCTGAGGTGAAGACGTGGCTGATGTGGCCTTCAGTAAGTACAGCACGGCCTGCAGGATTGCACGCGAGCACATGCGCTGCGGAGGCAAGTTCGATAGCCACAAAGAATACCGTGACTGGTTTCAAAGCCAGGGAGCCCAAATCCGAAGGAACTGTGCTCCAAAGTATGGATCACAAACTTATCCTTGGCTCACCCATGTTCCTTTCCCGTTGCTGGGGTCCCAGCCAAGTGATTCCCGATGAAGGCAAAGATGGAAAGACCAAACATCAGCCTGGCACCAAGTGAGCTAACAGATCAAAGGCAAAGGTGCCTACATGACACCTGCGAACACATGCACCATGCTGGTGGCTTCTCGTTTGTGGCCTCTTATGTTGTATCAACTAAATCTGCCAAGGCAACCCTCGTAACGTTGCAGTGGCCAGGTTGGATTATTTGTCAGGCACTCAGCTCCTCGCATGATGGACGGGTTGTACAGCAGCACGGTGTAGGCTTCAATAAAACTTGGCCGCATCGGTTGGTTTGCTGCCCGCTCAAAAATCGACAGCCGCAGTTCCCAAGGCTATGACGCGCCGATTGGCGCTGAACCAACGCTTGAAACAGGTGCATCCTCTCCCTGCACTCTGGCCTCTACATCCCCATCAGGCTTAACAGGGGATCTGCTGCCAGCATCCCCTCGCGACTGGAAAATATGTGGTGTTTCCGAGCTCTGGATTCCAAGCCGTCGGGTTTCAGAAAACTTGTGAGAATGCAATCTGGCCGTAACTGCCCTAAGTCACGTGTTCGCTTTCTTATGTTGCAAACTCTTTCCTATGCGGCACGAAGCTGGATCTGTGTCAAGACCCACCCTCCCGGAAGCTTCATGTTGGCCCCTTTCTTCACGCCACTCCTTTTAGGAAGCCCTCACAATTCGACCTTCAGCTCTCAAAACCTACTGTATGATGCCGCCCGCAGAATGGCCGCAACCTTGCAAAGCATTGCGCGTTGCACCAGAAGTCTTGATTCGTACAAACATCCTACTGTTCATCAATCTCAAGTGCATGCGCCATGGACACCTCTTGTTCTGTTCTGTGGGGAGTGGCCATGGCGAGGCGTAACGTCGCGAGGCGCAACGGCGCCACTGAGGCGATCACAACCTCTCGTTGACTATGGTGAGGGTGCCCGCCGGGATGGTGAGCAATAAGCCATCGAAGGCGCACAGCAAGGAGGCGGGAACCTGCCGGGGGGGATGCGCACGCCGAACTCGACCCCAAAATCAACTAATCCCTACCCGACCCAAGTTGCCAACCCACAGACCCCAACACCCCTAAGACACCCCAAAACATCCCACTCCATAACTGGGTCTTCGGGGAGAAAGTGATTCGAATGCTCGCTTGGCTGGTGTTGCAAAAACAAGGGCCGCAGAAAAGTCGGTGCCAAGGCCCGATTAAATAGATGTTTAGCCCACTGTTTCGGCAACCTCCTGTCCTTTTGGTTTTGACGCGGCAACCGGCGATCCTGCTGGCAATCCGCCAGGAGCATCCGCTGAAGAAGGCGATAAGGAAGCATGAGCGCCTCTTGATGCAATCTTGCAAAAAAGCAAGTAGCATCCATCAAAGGAATCTTATTTATTAAATACAATTACTAAATATAATATTAGCTTTATTTGCTGTTATGTGAACTACAATAAATGCAATTTATTACTATTTATGTAGCATTATCAAATACATCAAACTGGTTTGTATTAATTGTTCATGAATTGATTATTATATCATTTGGAATATCCATTTCATCAATCAAACCTTTTTGCACATATTCAAAACATTTCATTATAAAATAGGAAGATACATTTTTGGTTTTATCAACCATTGTTTCTGTGTGGCCACTCGCCAGGGCACTGGACCAAGGGTCAACAGTTGCGATTTATAATTTGAAAACATATTGTACTCGAACACCTTCAGAGCCAGCAAATCCAAAAGCATCCCAGCTTGAACGGTTTGCCAACCATCCAATTGTCAAATGACACTGCTTGCATGGCGTGCAGCGGAGTGTCGTCAGGGCTGAGAGCTGCGTCCTTTAAAGGGAGTGTTTTTTAGGGGTTTCCGAAGAGGCGCAGCGCTGGTCATTGGCGGGCTGCTGAGGGTGAATGTGGTTTCGGGTTGTTTTGGCCTCAACTCCCCTTGAGGCCCTTCGCCAGATTATGTTCAAAGAAGCCTGTGCTGAAGTAATTTCACGTGCCCAGAACCAAGCGATGAGACACAAATAGATTGAAGTGTTGTAACGAAGCTTTGCCATCACACAGAATTTCTTCCTGCAACATAACAAGTGCCGTGACTGGGTAGGTGAGCATAATTAGACAACACGAGGTCTCGAATATTTCCACGGGCAGAAAAGCCGGGAACATTTGTTTCATCAAGGAACAGTTGCATGGTTAGATCGACAATTTGCCCCAACAGGTGGGCGGATTGCTTGCTATGGAGCCATCTAGGCAATCTCGCGCTCGGGCGCTCCAACCGCTTGGGCCCCCCGGCCACCAAGATCCCTGCGGATCTCAGGCCATTGGCCGTGAAGTCCCGGTACTGCAAGCTGAACCTCCGAGAGCCGAAAGCGCCGTCGCGCCGTCCGAATTGGCCGCGGTTGGTTTGCATGGTTGCATGAGCCGTGCACGCAAACGGAATTGGAGGTCGGGTGTTCCGGCACACCTTGGGTCAGTGACCTTCCAGCCCTGGGGTTCACCGATAGCTGTGATCTTCGTGTTTGCAGGACGGCTCAAGCCTGATGCAAATTTGTGCGCGCAAAGCTCTCCGTCCATGCAAAGACGAACAAAAAACAAATGGTTGTGCACTCACCCATGTGGTGATATAGCAAGCGCCGGGGGGCGGGGGGGACGAGGTAGGCACTGATAAAGCAAAGTCAGTCACAGCACGCATTGTCCTGCTGCTACTCAAGCAAGATCCAATGATGGAGTACGCATGGTCTTGGTGTCAAATGCGCAGCGAAGCAAGATTTCTTGATCATCGCCGCTTTTGAGCCATGCCCCTTCAGGATCGCAAGAGCCCAGTCGCGATATTTTGCGAGGTGCCACTCAGCAACTGAATCCTTAAAACCTGACCTGTTCGTAGGCATCATATTCGTAGGCAAGCCTGAACATTGCGTGGCAAACTTCGGAGACTACACGCTGCATTTTCAACCCATCAGGCCCCAGGCGAGGCTTTTGGAGAAAAGGCCAAGGAAAACGGCAAGCGGGACCTTGCAACATTTGTATCTCACCCATGGTGTTCTACTGCTGGTGTCTCCCCGTTGAATTGCACCGGATTAGTGCGTGGGTTTCCCTTACTACAAACATCTTGCTACAAACGTTGCCAGGCAGGATTCATTGGCAGCATAGGTCAGATTTCCGGCCATTGCATGCTTCATTGGCTGACTAAAACGGTCTTCCCCAAAGTGGGTGGGTCAAAAATAGGGTAACAGCAAAATGGGTTGCCCTGGTCAATGGAAAGGACAAAATTCCTGCGGTCCATCTCCGGGTGACTGATTTTGACCGAAGTAGCAAGTCCATTCCTTCCGCGCTCCGAGCTTGAGGACCCCGGCAGAACTGCCCCGAAGGCCATGGTCACAAGCGCCATCTTAGAGGCAAAGGTCCTGGCGTAGGGGTCGGGCCAGGCGCGCGCAAATTGGCACCCTGGTCTTCCAGCTTCAACGAAACCCCAAGAGTGGCTTGTAATAGCAGGTGTCATTTAAACTTCCATAGCTTCAATTGCACCCCCCCCCCCCCGAACCATAGCAGAAAGCTTGATGTCTGTCAAAAACATCATGAGCATGCACTGAAAAAAGCGACTGCAACGTCAGCAACCACTTTGTTCGACGTGGGCAAGCAAGTGGGCATTGATCTTCACAACTCACTTTGTCTCTCTCATGTGCCCCCGGCAACGCTCTGTGCAACAATGGTTGAATCCCAAGGAGTCTCCAAGTCTTGGGTGCCACCTGAGCAGAACCTTTGGTTTGACGTATTAAAGCTAGCAGGGATGGCTGATTCAGCACGTTCTCCACCCTGGACCTCAGGAGGAATCGGAGTTGAAAGAATCAAGATCCCCCCTAATAATTGGAACTACGCTACAGCAACAACTTGGGTGTGGCATAAAATTAAACTGGGGGGGTTACGCAGGTGTTGGTCCATGTTTCCACTTACCAGGGTTCCATTTTGGTACCGGTTTTTGGAGCCACAGCCACTTTACCACTCCGCCTTGTGAACGCACGTGCGCGCACTCGAGTGCAACCGCCCGCCCGCCCACTCACACGAACCCGCGCGCACACACACAGTCACACACCTCACCCGCCCGCGTGACCCCACCCCCCCGCGCACGAACCGTGAGCCAGTCGTTCATGCTATTGGCTTTTCTTTGGGGGACTCCTGCACGTGGGGGTTTCTTTTGGGTTTTCTTTTGACACCAAGCATCCTCAATATTGGGATGTCCCCATTTCTGAACCAGGGCAAAGTGCTGAATGGGCTCTGCGTTGGTCCTTTCGCAGCCCACATGCACTTTTGCGAGACAAGTAGGTTCCACTGGAGCTGTGTTCCTCATGCTCCATGCTCAACAGCACTCACAGGCTGGGGAATCTTCGATGGCAAAGGCCGAGGCAATCCTGGATATGGTGCCTTTGCCTAATGATTCGAATCACAGTCGGCACCAATGCTGGAGTCAAAGTGCAACTGTTTGCTGGGGAGAAGCGTATAAAGACTCTAAGCTGATTTGTCCAGAACTCACGAGTTCTGCGAGCAAGCGCATTTTCTGCCGAGCTCCATGAGATCTCGCAAACCAGACATACACTTTTTTTAGGATTAGATACACGATTAGACGCTTGGATTTTGAGGCGAGAAAGTAGAGACAGGCCCTGCAGTCTCCTAGTGCCCGGTGGATTCTCATCTCGAACCTCTCGCAGCAGCTCGCACGCGTAAGGCGTACCGAGGCCCGAGGCCCCTGCGGCAACACCAAAGGCTCGATGAAGAGTGCGAAAAGCGGGCACAAATTCAGGAAGACCGTCCGCTCAGACAGTGAGCCTGCAGATGGCAAGAGAGTCAAACCCAGAAGCATGCTTCCTTGACTGCCAAAATGTGTGTGTGTGTGTGCGTCCATTCAGCTGAACAAGAGGGGAGGCAGCTCGCCAGAGTCTTGAATAATTCGACAAGTAGGGAAGAGTCCTCTTCGGGCTAGCCAACAACCCCATCTGATCCTACAACACCTTGCATCTTGGGAAAGAAAACAGCAAAAGGCTCAGCTCAAGCCAACGGGCTTGGATGCCGCTTCACAATACTCCTGTTGCAAACGACGCGCAATGCCAGTCAACAAACATCTTGGGCATGATCGCACGTTTTCAGGGCATCACAGGCTGCCGTTGTCAATGGCGCACCCCACTCATTGATCTGCGTCCAAGCCAGTGGTGGCTTGGAATGAGTTTGGGATCAGCCCCGGGATGGTTCGCCCTTCAAAAGCGTGTTCACTGGAGCTTGCAGCTTGTTCAAACTGCATTATCCCTCTTCACGGCGTTGCGAAGACCTGTGAAGCTTCATCTTCACTGTCTTCACCCTGCCATCTCCAAATCGCTCCGAGAAAGTCAATATCTGAGACCCCTGCTGGTCCACTTGCAACAGCAGAATGAAACAAGGCTCAAGGCACACAACTGCATGTCAGGGAATCCATCTGTTCGTTGGGGGAGGGGCCTCTCCACTTTCTTTGTGTTCAAACAGGAAGTTTCAGGCCTGCATGGCTGTCGGGTTCTCTCAAAACCAGCGGTCTTTGCCATACCAAAAAGCATGCTCGCCGACATGCCCTGCGCTCCCTCAAGAAGCTAGCTTGTGCAATGTGTGTGTGTGTTTTGTGTAGGGTGGGGCCACCATGTTTAAACCACTGGTTCTAATGATTCTTCCCTTGTGAAGGTGGTGTTTAAACCATATTTTGCCCCACCCAGGTGTTGTGGCAGTGACTGTGGCTATGACTGTGATCGGTGGTGGTTCTGCAATAAGCGGCATCTGAGCTTGCTGCAGTACATCGATACCTGATGATTGATGAGCTGGTAAGCTACGAACCTCAGAAAGCAAGCATACAACGAGGGCCCACCGTCGTCGTTGGACTCCATTGAGCTGGGTGGAAAAAACTATGTGCCTACAGCCATGGCCAAACATTTTTATCTGGAGTACTACAAGCCTCGCAGGCAAAAGGATCAGCCACTCCCTTCACGCGCAATGATTCTGAGGAATGAAAGCCATATATCTTCAGGCCAGCTGAGCTTGAAGAAGGGTCAACCTGCATGAAGTGGCAACAACTCGCGCAGGATGTTTCCGCTACAAGACATCTTGAGGCAGCAATGCTATGACCACCCACCCACCCACCCACCCGCCCGCCAGCCAGCCAGCCAGCCAGCCGGCCGGCCGGCCGGCCAGCCAGCCAGCCAGCCAGCCAGCCAACCATCAGAACAAACAAAACCAAGCAAGCAATCAATCAAACGTTGCAACCCCAATGAAGCTAAAAGAAGCTGCTGCTCAAAGGGCATTCTTTCTTTCTCTCACTTTCCGAGTGGATTGGCCAAACCAAAAGTCCAAACTGCTTGTCTACCACTCAAATGCTCCAAACCCAAAAGGTGGCTGAAGTCCGAGTTTCGGAACTCAGGGAGTCAAACCTCTCTGCGACTAGGTGCTCCAGTCAGGATAGAATAAGGGTACTAACTTTTTCCTGTAATCTATTTTGGTAGGGGAACCCTCCTAACCAAAAAAGGGTACAAGGGCACTGCTGGGGGACATAGGTGGCCTTTTGAAACAAAAAGGCCCTGGTAAATGGAACAAACCCCATCTAAACCGGTGCCATGTACTTTTAACCAAACCTAAAAAAGCACACCTATGTGGGACCTCTCGGCGACATCGAGGTCTGCTTTTCGAAAGTTCAACTGGCTG